CTATGCTGGCTATTGCACTGACACTTTTCTTTCAGATTTTAAAGATGACCACGAAAGAACCATTTGTGTATTGCAGAAAAAAGATCTTTCGACAGCGCAAGAATCCAAAGACAATTAACTTTGTCATACATGCCCTCAGAAGTAAAGTTCCAAAGAAAACGCGACGTCGACTAAACTACGATGACGATGTCCCACGTCCGACACCAAGATTTCCATTTCTTCAGCGGTATGAAATAAGTGTTTGACGTCACATGCTGGCTGAATTACATGTTAGCCTCATATAGAGTTCATTTTCACAGGTAAAGTGTGTCTTGAAAGGCACATATAAGGTAGTTGAATACCGTCCATTGATGGTGATTTTTTCTCTTAGAATGGATGAAATGATGATCCAGCTAGTTTTTGCAGAACTTAAGGTATCATAGCAAAATGGCTTGTCTTCCTTTCTGTTCATTTTATTGTATCAATAGTCTCTCGCTGCCCCAAGTTTATCTTCCGCCATGTTCCTCAAGTATCTTTTAAGTGGTCTACTGTTTTCTTCACATGGCATTGCCTCCCGCACAGACACAGTCTATTGCTATTTTTGTATACCCAATCCAGTTATTGCATGCATTCGATCTGACTAAGCCCTTGTGCAAGCCAAATTTAACTCGATTATAATGTCTGTTTGTTTTGCAAATTTCGCTATTCAGTTACAAACGTTAAGGACAGCTATTGCTTATGGACTATTGGGACAACTGTTTTCTACCCCGACTGTCGTAGTCAGAGTTTCTTACCAGGTCTTGTTTTTATTAATTAACGCATAAATTTTGCTGTGCAGGAGATTCCCAGAATGTGCATGTATTGCCTGTTATTTACAGTGCGAATTTTTCCCTTATTTGCCTTACATTTTTGAAAGCGTTCCAACAAGCGGGTTTTATGAAGCCATGTACCCCATTAGAGAGAATTTAATAGGATATAATTAATCAATTAGAGCCAGTCATATGGGATGGCTTCGCTTCACATCATTTTGCGTCGCGGAGGCATCATCAATGTCTCTAGGGTTCCTGATTCTGTGCTATCGCTTGAGTTTCATCGGACGATATTCGGAGACTGCAGCATGTTTTTTCGAGACAGTTGACTGAGTTCATTTTTTGCCCTCCACGATGTCTTCGGTCGGTCGAACAAATATTCACCGTTTCGCCCTCTTTCTTGGAAGCATTTTTTAAATGTGTCAAAATCACCGGCGCTGTGAAATTTCTACTTGAAGAGCCAGCGGCAACTTACTCGGATATCTGAGCTTTAGCCTCTCTCGAGACCTATGAGCCCACTGATTTGTTCCAGATAACCCAATTCAACCGCTTCTACCTGGGATCTCAGTGATTATGCCATGCTCGACGACTGATGTTTGTAGTTGTGCGTGGGGATGAAAATTGACTTGAATCCCGACCAGCCGTTTCTTTAGATTCATCTCCACCTCATTCACAGCGGTTCGAAATAGTTCACGCAGAACACCGCTGGCTATTCCAAATCACTGGTCGATTTCTTCTTGCCGTTTTCTGTCTCCAGTAAACACGACCCTGAGGTACGTGAACGTCTCTGCTTGCTCCACTGTTCTCCGTTTATTTGCAGAGCGCAGCGGCCAGGAAATCGAGAACGTACTAGGCTTTTCGTTTTAGTCGCATTCATACTCATATCGTACACATTGCGTATAGCTGTGCATCTTTCCAGGAGGCGCTGGAGATAGGTCTCAGAAGATGCCAATAAAGCAAAATCGTCTGCAGACAGGAACCTCATGGTCTCTTTAACTCTAATGCTGATACTCTCATCGCCTTGGCTGCGCCTGTCTATTCTATCCATGTACAGCATAAACAAGAGACGGAACAGAACGCAACCTTGGCGAAGACGAGTGTCAGCGTTGAAAGGTTCTGACTAAATGCCATTTACTGTGACCCGTTGATTTATCATCTTTCTGTAGTTCTTTGGTAGCGGGAGCCTACTGTTTGCTACTACGCACCCAGTTGTCGGAAGACGTGATGGAGGTTCTGATCGCTGACTTTTCGCAGCCTGCTTTAGTTCCGAAACAGCTTGTGTGGCCCATGCTAAACCGGGCGACGACCGAACCGCAATAACGTTCAGAAATGTCATGACCATAAAGGGTTGGTAGCTAATTTTTACGAGAAATTTTGCAACGGTCCGCAACCTCCCAGGACGTGGGACCGGGATCTACGAGCTAACTTCGAATGCAACATGTATTTTGTTTTGATTTTAGGAATCATCGCCAGGGCCTCAAGGAATGTGAAAAGGAAAAGTTTTTGCGCTCCCACCTTTCGATGCTGCCTAAAGCGGCTCTTCGTGTCGGTGATTCAACCGGAGTACGTACTTTTTGTTCTACGAAAAGTGTTCAACTTTGATAGTGTTATGTTGAAAACTTGTATCTTAATTTTCAGTCACATATGCAAATTTTGATACATGCATTTATGAGGAAAATGCTTTTCCGTAATGATAGCTCTGGGGTTTTATAATGCACAAAATCAGTCCATAATCGGAAATGATTGAAACGGTTTTCTTATTTCATCAGGGTTGCCATATTTTGCTCTGGTGAAGGCAGCAAACCAACGCCTGTTACCAATATTGTTGTTCACATATTCATATGAATTTTTTGACTTTGCCAAATCATGACTCTATGTAAGGTCGACATGTGTTAAATATATTGTCGAAGCATGCAAAATTCAACATGATGGCAGACAGACACCAGAAAACTCGTATTAGATATTGTTTTCGCTCTCATACTGCTTTTACAAAAGGAATCGTTACCTATGAAGTTCTTTTGCGTCAGATTTTTACCGAGGAATTTTTTTGTGAGTTCTAAATAGGAAATAATACACACACGAGTAAAAACCAAACACAATCTCAGTGTTATAACTTTTTCTCCCTTCAGAAAGGGTGAGGTTCCAAAATAAATATTCATTTGCACTGATCTCATCGTTCTCGACTACAGCATCTTATTTATTTCTGCTTTAAGTCATTCTCATGTTAATTTCATTTGTTGGGATTTGTTGTGAAAGTGGGTCAATGTTATTTATCTATATCTTCATCTTACATGTCGCGGAGGCAGAAGCGCCAGACAGTGCTTCAACTTTCTCGATCCTATGCCAGAGTCTGAGCTTCGGCTGAGGACAACTGGAGTCCAGAGCCGACGCCTTCCATATATTTGCACCGGGTTAATCTTGGCCGTCACCTGGGCCTTCTGCCTGTCGGCTGGACAAGAAACAGTTGTTCCGCCTTCCTTTCTGGTGGCATTCGCAACCCAGGCCCAAGCCATCGCATCTATGACCTCAATCTCAAAAAGCAGCAGCTATAGACTAAGGCTCTCGCGGATGTCTGGATTTCAGACAATGTCGAGACGCGTAAGACCAGCGACTCGTCTAAGAAAGCCCATTTTAGCAGTTGGTACCCGGGTTCGAGGTTTTTCAGTCATGGTCCATGATTGATGACCGTAGGTAAGCATGGTAATGAAGATCGACTTGAATATCGAGCGCTTGGTCTTCAGACCCAGCTCTGCTTTAGTCAAGTTGTTCGGACTAGTTCATGCAGAGCGCCACTGGCTACTCCAGTCTGCCGGTCCATCTCTTCTTCAAATTTTCAATCTCCAGTAAACACGACTAGGAGATACTTGAACTTCTCCACCTGTTCCGCTTACAACTCTGTTAATCTGAAGAGGGCAACGGACAGGGGAGTGAGACAGCAGAAGGTTTTTCGCTTTAGATACATTCACACGCACGTCGGCCACGCGGCACTCGGCTGCGAACCTTTCCAGAGAGCGCTGTAGATCAGTTTCAGAAGATGTCAACAAAATCGGGTCGTCTGCAAACAGTAACCTTCTCGTCTCGACATCTCCTACACTGACACACTCATTGCTTTGGCTGCGTCAGGCTGTTCTATCCATGTACAACATAAACGGGAGAGGAGAGAGAACGCAGCCGTGGCAGAGACCAGTGCTAATGCTGAAACTCCTCGATTTAACGCCATTTAATCTGACGCAGTATCTGCTATTAGCATATAATGATTTGATGGCCCGTGACAACTGATCATCAAGCACATATTTTCGCAAGTATGCCCAGAGATTGTTGCGCGGGATCTAGTTATAGGCTTTCTCTAAGTCAATAAAGCACATTTGCACCGGATGGGTGAACTCCCATGATTTCTCAGCAGTCTGACGTAGTGCAAATATATGGTCAGACGTGCTTTGACCGGGTCAGAAGCCACACTGCTCTTCTTGTATCTTGGAGGCAGTTATTCCGCGGCACCTCCTTTCTTGCATTTTTGCGTAGACGTTGTCTGAGAGGCTCAATATAGAACTGCTCTGATAATTGGAGCAATCCTTATGGTCTCCCTCGTTGAATAAAGGTATAACAACCCCTTTCTCCCATCCGCTGATGTCTTCCCCGTAGCCGTTCCCCGTAAGCTAGCAGATGCCTTGTTCGCTCAGTGCTTTGCGAGTTTCAGGGCGCATTTGTTTTTTATGTTCGGTTATTTATCTGGTTTAATTTTTTTGTTTCTCTAATAGTTTCATTTGTTAGTAGCGGAATTCATTCTTTCATGATCACCTTTAATTAGTAACTTTTTAAAATATCATGGTCAAAGCAGTGAAGTAGAAATCTGCCTCATTTACGATTAATTTATGATCTGCATTTTCGAGACAAAGTGACTTCGGTTGTTCCTGTTAAGGGAGCCACCTCAGCGATGAGAAGTTGTGAAATTGCAGTTAATACCAGGCAACAGTATTCGTGGCATGCTGATGAAAAACACCAGATACGCTTTTGGTCATTTATTCATCGAACAAAGTACAATGACATAGTTAAAGAAGTGCAGAGCAACGATGGCGGAATCTCGGTATCTGAGGCAAAAGTCACGGAGGCGGCCTTGACAGATGACGACAATACAGAAGAGCTGGCAAACTTAAGTGAATATGTCTTATGTTAACTACGAGCATATATGCTGAGGTTCAAGGTGAACGTAGTATGTGCGGTGAAACCGGTGTTACTGAGCAACTCGAGATTAACGAATTCGCTCAGTCACAAACGACGGATGCGTCTTCCATGGACGACAGCAATACAGAGGAGTTGAGAAAGTCAAGTAAATATTTCCTGTGTATGACTTGCATATATGCTTATGCTTTAAGGTGAAATCGATTGCACGGTGGAACTCGAGGTCGGAGCATTGATCGGTGAAGAGAGTCATGAAGACTGCGATCAACTAGATGGTCGCTTCGGTTTTGCTGCTCAGGTATCAGCGATGGAGTTAGATGATAAAATTAATATAAATTGGCAGGATAAAGTAAGAACTATTGAGCGAGAACTTTCGTAGGCATAAGTTTTCTCAGAGAGCATGGCAACCGTCTAAAATGTCTCCTTCCTGTACTACGAATACTGATGTTTCGAGTTTAATCTGGGAGTCATTCCTTCACGTGAAGATGTCTCGTTTCCTCACATTTACCAGTGCCTTTTGTCATTGATGAAAATTCCCTTTCTTTAGACTGAGGAATGGAAGTAATGGGTTAGCATTCGCTACCTTTTCTCAGGATTGGCGAAAGGTCAGTAGCCATCAGATGGCAAAGAAAGCTACACGGAAGTTTGTTGTTAATAGACAATCTGTCCTTCATCGACGCAGTTAATACCCCCAGTCATCATAAATCTGAAGTAACCTGCAGGTTTGCAAAGATGCTAAAGGAGATGTTGGCGAA